ATAGCAACAACAACAACATTGAATTTACATATCAATGCACGGCTGATAGCACAGCAACAGGCCCCAGCTCATATCAACTCTATGGAACAAAGGAGAGTTAACCTTTGGTTCCCAAGGCTGTTACCTTTGCAGAAGCAAATTGCCACGTCATTCTCTCACAGAGCAGCTGGCGTGTTAGGACCTCCAAACTTTCAGTTAGCTTCGGAGCCTGAAATCAGTACACCTAACAGAATCACAAAGGTCTTAGAAGTCAAAGAGGGAGGCAGAAGAGAAGTCAAGTCAGAAGGATGATGCGCATATGGAAGAGAAACACAGTGGAATTCCACATTTCAGGCTTTGGAGGAGGGCTCCGAGGCAAGCGAGAAAAGAGATCTCTAGAGTCTGCAAAAGGGACGGCGAATGATTATAAAGATTGAGCTGATGTGATACATTTTAGGCAAATCAGATGGTTTCCTGAATTATCTTTTAACGCTTTCTCGGCTATGGTGAGGCTCCCTGGTGGCACAGTGCATAAACTATTGGGGTGATAACAGAAAGATTAAATCCGTAAACTACTCCACGTGAGAAAGACGTGCGGTTTCCTCCATTAAAAACTTACAGCCCCTGGAGTCTGAGGAGCATCAGCCTGAGGGGCAAGCAATTCAACAGCAGTGAGTGTGGGTTTGGGGTTTGCTTAGGTTGTCTTGCTAATCCGTTGGTGTAGTTAGGTACCATTGAGTTGAGTACAACCCACAGTGACCCTATAAACAACAGACTTGAGCCCTATGCCATCTTCATCATCTCCTACACACCTGAGCCTAGTGCTGCAGTCACCATGCCGATCTCATTGCAGGTTGTCCTCTCCTTTGCTGACCCTCCATCTTTCTAAGCATGCTGTCTCTCTCCAAGGAATGGCCTCACCTAGCAACATGTCCAAAGTATGAGACAAAGCTTTGTCATCTTTGCTTCCAAAGGAGGACTGTGGCTGTACTTTCTCCACAACATATCCATTCATTTTGGCAGTTCATGGGATACATAGTACTCTTCTCCAATAATACAAATGAAAGGCGCAAAGGCATCAACTCTTCTTTTGCCTTATTCATTTCCAGCTTTCTGATGCATAGTAGGTAATTGAGAAGACATGGCCTAAATCAGGCACACCTTAGTCTTCAGAATGACATCATTGCTCATAAATTATAAGTGTAATTCTTCAGTATTAATTTTCTAGACACTTGTGTAATCTCTTCTATTTTGAGATACAGACTTGGTTTGCTGACTGGATATATAGATTGATCATTTTTTCTAGGCTTAGAAAAGAAAGGAATATATTCTTTCTTCATTCTACTAAATCTCAGGTTTTGCTTGCCACCACAGAATCAGAAATGTAAATGGAATTGGAGAAATAGATAGTAAAAATTTCTGATATAATGTTTCTTGAGAAATGTTATCAAGACTAAAAAGAAAATCTATTTCTCTCATTGAATAATTGTTTATTTAAACACTTAAGGCAAATTAATGATCATTCCACTATATTGTTAAAGTCTCAAATCTAAGTTTGAGACAAAAATTAGTGTATCATGTTCTATTTGTCAGAAAATTAACTTGAAGACAGTTCAAAAGCAAATTTGAAAGCCTTTGCTTATGCAGCATAGTCTTTCAAAAGTTATTTTTAAAGACTAAGGAATTAGGCACCTGTTGATTTTGCCAGCTGGTGTAGATGTTAAAAATTACTGTCACTTTTCTGCCCTCTACTCTGTTTTGCACCTGCTACTATTTGAGTTATGGACATTTCACACATGGTAATTTAATAAGGTTAGGTCCCATGGCAGTGCAATAGATATTAAGATATTATCCCACTGGAGTTTAAAGAAGTTTTATAAGGTCTAGTGGGAAAAGCAATAAATAAAATGAAGAAACTGAAATTGAAATTTCTTATTTGTAGATATCACATTTTTATGATAGAAAAAAAATTAAAATAATATAGTTTAGCCCTCTGCTGTAAAATAAATTAAAAAAACCAAAACACAAAACATCAAACTCTTTTTCTGATTTTACTATTTTGTAACATGTATATATAATTTTAAGTAGATTTTTTATTGTCAATAGTAATAGTCAAATGTAAATATCTATCTATCCAGAGCTTCATTGCCTACTATGATAGTTAACAGCCACAAACAATTATTTAAATTCAGTTAAAAACAAAATTCATCAGGTGCTCTGGCCTCCTTTCAAGTGTTCCACAACCACATCTGACTAATGTCTACCCTGTGGAACAACGCAGGAATAGTTGTCCATTGTCTCAGAAAGTTCTATTAATTGGTGTTTTATGAAATTTCCAGTTTTTGACATAGACAAACTTGTCCATCAAGATGATCATGAAACTATCATAGGATTTTCCTTTAAAAAGTCGTTCTAATGTTCCATCATCCTCTTGTGGTCAAGAAGCAGAGATCAAAGTCAAAGAAGTAGTCTACAGGAATCCGAATGACCTTTGCTAAAGATAGAAGGAGCAAGGGGATCTGAAGCTCGAACTCAGGAAACAGTTGCTTCAGCTTCTAAAAATATATAGGCAGGTGGACACTGCTCAGAGATTGTACTAGCCCATATATTACAGAGATTATCTTTTTAAGAGGTTTGTTTATGTAGGTCTTTGGGTTGTAAAACAGCTTGAACTTGAACACTAACCTAGAGATCAGAGGAGTGAACCAACCTAGCAGCTCCACAAAGACAGGCTGGCTGATATGTTTCCATAAAGAAAGGAAACCCTGGGGGGGGGGGCAGTTTTACTCTGTGACCCATGGGGTCACCATGAGTTGTAACACAATCAATGGGGTTGGGGTTGGGGTTATTGTTGCTGTTAGTTGTTAGCCATTGAGAGGGCTCCAACTCAGGGTGACCTTACACATATGAGATCGCTTCAGACCTTCTGTGGATTCAACTGTTATCTCCTAAATATTTTCATTTTGAGAAAACGTGATATGTGATGTGTTCTAAGATAATGAAGTGTGCTTACATTGTGAATTTTGGGTCAGTTAGTTCTACCACGGGAACTCCAGTGGCATAATCCTTTGCTTGACTAACTCAAGGGCTGAGTGTTGGATTGGAATGTACCAGTGGTTCCACAGGAGATGAGTGATTTCCTTCCACTAAGATTTGCTGACTTGGGGACCCAATGGAGAGCCCGCTGTGAGTTAGAACCCACTTTTGGGGACTTTTTTTGGGGGGGCTTTAGTTTTTTGTTCTACATGTAATGTATGTTTTAAAAGGCTAAACCTAATCATGGGGCATGGACAAACAAAAGGAGGAAAAGCTATATAATAATAAACAAACAAATAACCTATCTAATAAACAAGAATCTTGCCTTCCTGAGCACTAATCTAATGCCCAGAGAGGAGAATTTTGCTTTGGTTTTTTCTTTTCTCTCTTTTTTTTAATTATTTTATTATTTTTGTGTGCGTGTACCGTCAAATCAGATCTGACTGGTACAGAAGGAGATTGTCCCTCCTTACCCAGCAGAGCATCTGGTGGATTCGAACCGTTCGCCTCTGGGATTGTAGTTGCAGCTCTTTGCCACTAGGCCACCAGAGCCCCCCTTGGTTTTTTATTTTCTGTTAACAAGCTGAATTTTAAATTTTATCCTTGAGGACATTCACTGAACAAATCGAGCACTTTTTGGAGTTTTCTAATAGGCCGGATAGTCTTTTGTAATATATTTCAAGCTACATACAAAGCATAGTTTATAAGAAAGACAAGAAATCTGTCTTCTCCTTTAATTGCCTGGATAGTTTACATGAAATTTTGCTGACCCTCTTTGAATTTCTTCAATGACTCACTTCACTTTTTCCAATACTATAGAGATAACATTTTTTATTCAATTTAATATGGTGATATAGATTACAATGACTTGGTCTTTGAAAAGGTTAAACTCATCAATTGTTCTTTATATTTAGCAAAGGAGTTAAGCCTTGAAAAACACAATGGAACCGGAACTTTCCAGACTGATCAAAATTATTTATTGTTTTCAAGATGTTCATTGACCCATGGTTGGTATAGAGTGGAGGTTAGAATTGAGATCGTCAATGTTTTAACCTTGTCTAGATTAGCAGACACTAAGTTTGTGTTGTATGGATACAGTTCAGAGGGAATCTTAAAGTGTATAAAAATGCAGAGACAGTCCTTCAGCCTAGAACCGAATAATGGTCTTGTTTTTCTGAATAATGGTCAGCAGAGCTGGACAGTTAGTCATGGGTGTTAACTGAATTCAGGTTCCAATCAGTCTTCATAAACAATAGTTGTTCTATAAAGAAAAGAGAAAATGAGTTAGATATTGATTGATCTTTACAGGCAGAAAACTGGGGAGAAAAGATTGTAAAGTGCAAAGAAGAACAATCATAAAACTCCAGCACTTAGGAGTTATGTCACTTCTTAGCTATAAAAACCTGACTGGGATTATCCTTGAGCTATTACAATAGAGCAAGAAATGCTAAAGAATTTATGCTTATACTCTTATTAGTAGTATTTTCCAGGTAAATTCATTAACTTCTGGCTCACTGAGCCTCCACTACATAACTGCAGTCAAAACTAGCATTTATGAATAAAAAGAAAAATCTGGTAAGGGTTTTTTTCTGCTTATATCTTATATGAAAGGAGCACTGAGGGCCTACTCTGTAGGGTGGTGTACTGCCAACCCAAAGGCCATACCTTTCTGGTAGTTTGAAACCACCAGTGGCTTCATGGGAGAAAAATAGGCATTCTTCTTCCATGTAATTTACAGCCTTGGAAAACCTGCTAGAAGGTCAGCTATGAGTTGATTTCAACTTGATGGCAATGAGTTTGAGTTTTATTCCTTATATGCAGCTATCTATTTCTACAGAGTTCATCTCAAATACTTAATATTGTCTGTTAACATAAGTCTTAATTAAAACCAATTATAAATGATTCCTATAGCATATGAAGTAAGCTTATAAGTTTAAAAAAAAATCAGGAAAACCTTGTACATTAAATAAGGAAGAAATCTATACCTTTAAGTCTCCATTTAGACGGACATGATGTGCTTGACAAAAGCTGTAGGGATAACACAGATAGTTTAGAATTAGGACTAGTAAAATTTGATAAAACAGTTTTTTGGTTTTTTTGGGGGTGTGTGTGTGTGCACGCGCGTGTACCGTCAAATCAGATCTGACTGGTACAGGAGGAGATTGTCCCTCCTTCCCCGGCAGAGCATCTGGTGGGTTCGAACCGTGCGCCTCTGGGATTGCAGTTGCAGTTCCTTGCCACTAGGCCACCAGAGCTCCCCGATAAAACAGTTTTATTAGCAGCTTGACACAGTCCTGATTAGTCTAAACTGTTATCCTTGAGTTTATGTTCAGAAAGTCAATGAATAGTTTTTCCTTTATTTTTTTTTTAATTTTTATTGTATTATTTTTACTTGTACCATCAAATCAGATCTGACTGGTACAGGAGGAGATTGCCCCCTCCTCCAGCAGAGCATCTGGTGAATTTGAACCACATACCTCTGGGATTGCAGTGCAGTGTCTTGCCAATAGGCCACCAGAGCTCCCTAGTTTTTCCTTTATTTTTGAGAATTAGTTTTTGAATTGGTGTTTTATTCATACCATTAAATTGTTTCTAAAGTAATGTATTTGTTAATAGCCATCAAGTCTCTCCCTAACTTAGTAGGAGTGTAACAACTTCACAGTGTCCTCAAGAGGGGACGAGATCTGCTGGGGTGTGCCACACTCCGCAAGGCACATACACAGTAAAACTTCTGGTCTTTGTCAGTAAGCTTATTGGAAACTGTCATTGTAATATACTTTCAATTTGCTTTGCATTTATTACAATTTGTTGTTGTTGTTGTTATGTGCCGTCAAGTTGCTTGCGACTCATAGCGACCCTATGTACAACAGCCCCAAACTCTGCTCTGTCCTGTGCCAATCGCACTGTCTCCGACACTCCCATCCCAATTACCCCAGTCACTGAATCAATCCACCTCATAGAGGGCCTTCCCCTCCTGTGCTGTTCCTCCACCCTCCCAAGCATGATGTCCTTCTCCAAGGACCAGTCCCGCCTTACAACATGTCCAAAGTATTTTAGATGAAGACTCAGAACCCTTGCCTCCAAGGAGCCACTCGGTTTAACCCTTTTCAGGATGAATCTGTTTGTTTTCCTAGCAGTCCATGGTATTCCCAATACTCTTCTCCAGCACCACAGCTCAAAGGCATCAATTCTCCTTCTATCCCCCTTGGTTATTGTCCAACTCTCTGATGCATAACAGTTACAATTTAGGATCTTTTAATGTCATATTAATTTTCTTTATTCTTCTATGACTAGTTTAGCTAATTTCTAATTTTTCTATTGAGTTGTGATATTTTTAATTTGTTTATAGGCTCTTTTTTTTAAATAGGGAAATTGGTTATTTGTGATATAGCTAGTAAATGTTTTCCTGGCTTACGGTTTGTCTTGTAATTTTGCTTCTAGTGGTTTTTGAACTCTATGTGTCTGTCTGTTTATCTATGAAAACCTCCACTGACAAATAAGAGAGGAAGGGGGGGAGAGAAAAAGAGATAGAGATATGAATTTATTAACAACTTAAAATGCCTTCTAGGTTTCGTGTCAGTTACAAAGCCCAGCAATGACAAAGCAATAAAGTAATTCTTCCATGGCCCTTATGCGTTTTATGCTTTTAGCTTTTACATTTAATTTTTGGCCCACTTGTCTTGGTAAAATAGAGATCTGACTTTATTTTCTAGGTGATTATTCATTTGTTAAAACAGATTTATTGACTGTTTCTCCTTTCTTGAAATGTTTTTATGATAATAGCCAAATGCAAAAAAAAAAATTCTTTTCAGCAAAGGCTGAAGTTTATGTAAGATTGTCAGTAAAGATATGCTTGGTTGTGTAGTCCTTTTTCTTCTTTTCTGTTCACTTCCTTTTCTCTCTTCTTAAAATTTCTGAGTTTTTTTAGTCAATATTTACGTAAAGACTGTCAACCTAGCTTTATTGAAATGTGGTTAGAGTAGTCATCTTTGAAGATAGATGTCTCTTAATTTTATTGAAAAGTTTTACAAGTCCAAATTTCATTGTGCATCTTTGTTTTGTGTAGTAGACATTTGTCAGGTATACTAGGTGGTATAAATTGGTTACAGGAAATAGATAACTGTCCACCGTAAGTTGGCTTTAATTTAAACGGGAACTCTAAGCCAGAAACTAAATTCTAATACCAGCCCTGTCATTTCTGAGTTGACTTTCATGAAATAACTTAACCTCTCTGACCCTCTGTTTCTTAATTTTCATAATTGCTTGGTATTAGTAGAGAATGTAGAGGTTTCTCCAAGTTTTAATATTAATTTTATAGTAAAATTTTCATGTTTACTATTAATACTTTAATAGTTAACATTAGATTCTGATACAACACTGTTATTGCACAGAGACGTTGTGAACATAAGAAATGATATAGAGAAACACTTTTAGATACAGTAGGTGTTACGCACACTGGCATAGATCTTAGAAATATCTTCAGAGATCGTCTTTGTTAGACAATTACTTAATTGATTGATAATAAGTAATGTGTGTATGTTCTGTTAAAGAGGAAAAGGAAAAGAATAGTCTTAAACGAAAGAGTTTTCAATCAATTGAGAGTCGCTAGAAGCACTAAAACAAGTGACCTACCTTCATAGTTGATGCAGCCATTGGAGTCTTCTTGACCTGCCAGCAGGGCTTCCACCTCTTCCTCTTTCATCTTTTCCCCTGATGAAATAAAACTCTTTATTTAAAAGGCAGACCAAAGTATGCATCCAGAATACCACCATATGTGATCAATCATGGGATCCTTCAATAAATGTATGGACTAAGATTGTGGAGATTTGGAACAGCGCCCGCCCTTCTTTTCCAGTACTTAGTAAGTTGAACCTTATTCTTGATCATTCAAAATATTAAAAACCTACATTAATTTGTTTTCTTTTTTTCACTACCAATATTTTAAGTGTCCATTTCTGAAGAACATTTTGTTGAGGCTGACTAAAGTGCTCTTTGCTTTTGAATTACTTTTTTTGGTAATATTTCCCTTAAACATTTTTATTCTGACATACTTAAGTTACACTCTGAACATATTCTACCCTTTTTTGTGTGTTTGATTAAATCCTCCTTACCCAGCGTGGCTAAAACGTGGCGGAGCTCAGCACCCATGACTGTACCGTTGCCTTCCTTGTCAAAGACACGCAGACCCTCAACGAAATCCTCATAGCTGCCCTGGTCCTTGTTGTTGGAAATAGCTTGCATCATGGGCAGAAATTGTTCAAACTCAATTTTCTTGGCGTTCATCTCTGGAAGAAGTCACAATTAGGAAAGTTGATAGCTACCATCTCTGAGTTACAAATTAAACTTGAAAATTTGTCCTGGATAAATGGAAACTTCTTCATACAGCTTGCATATCAGTTGTTAAGTTGCTAAGATGACAACAAGATGGTAATAAACAACAACATAGAGTATTAGTGCCTGAATGTTCATCTCAGATGCATCATTTACAATGAAATGACCTTGCACAAGGGTGTCAACTTCTTTGAACCTCAATTTCTTCATGTGTGAAATAAAAATACTTCATAATATTTCTGTGAAAATGCAATGTGATGAAAAAAGTCCAGATTATTATAACCCTTGGGTGATATTAAGAGCTTAGTAAGTGCTTAGGCACTTAGTTGGAATCCATCAGCTACTGGAGAAAGATGGGCGATTCCTCTGTTGGGTTTTACTGCATCTGAAAACCCACTAGGTCAGTTATGAGTCAGTTCTGACTTGTTGGTACATAAAAACAACAACAACAAAAATATTTTATTAGTATTGCTAAATTAATACTTTCCATAGATAGTTGTTATGTACCATCAAGTCGTCAGTGACTCAGTGAATCTACAAAAGCTCTGAATCCCACCCTATCCTGAGCCAATCTCACTGCCTCCACAAATTGTAGGGAAACTATATACAAGCACACTGTAATAGAGCAAAAACTATTAGCATATAGTACAGTAATGGCTAATAAGCTTCATTACATATTCCACTTTCATCTGGAGATCTTAAATAGCTTTCAAGTTATATTTTTTTATTGTTGTTGTTAGGTGCCATTGAGTTGTTAGAGTTATATTTTAAGTCCTTTAAAAAAGCAGCTTATGAGTGAAGCATGCCTATGAAATGTTCTACCAAATATATTTTAAATTCCCAAGTTTTTTGGGATTTTGAGATTTGGCAATAATATGGCTTTCTTTTTATATAATAATGAATCTCCTGACAAAGTAAGCTCATTGCCCCACTGTCACCAAAGGTCTCTCAAATCACAACTCCCTTTTCCTTGTCTCCTCATAGAATAGAATTCTGGTCCTGTGAGTAATAGTATAAGTGATACAGTCTGAGTGCTAAGTAAATGAACGATTTTTATGAATTCCATTGATTTCTTTGACAAGTTAGAAAATGACATTTGAAAATAAAGTTTGGTCTATTTGTTCTCTCATTTCATCCCAGGTGCACAGCTTGCTACATTCTGCTTGATCTAATGGGAAATTTTTCCTTCAAAGAAAATAAAGTCAAAGGAAAATTCCAGCACACTGTTTAGAGATAATTTATTTTCAAATCAAATTTGTCTTGTTTTGGATTTTTAAAAAGTGATTATCTCTAGAGCATAGTTAGTTACCAAGAAAATAATTTATTTGCCTTCCTCTTTTCCTACTCACTCACTCATCACCACTGAGTTGCCTCTGATTTAGAGCTACCCTCCACCAGTTTCCAAGACAGATGACACACTTTGCTTGCTGAACGTGAAGAGGATTTGAAATGCTTGCTGCAGCAGATCAAGGACTACACATTTAGGTATGGATTACATCTCAAAAGCAAGAAAACACAGACCCTCCCTACTAGGGTCAATAGTCAGCATTATGAAGGAGAAAAGATTGAAGCTTTTAATGGTTTCATCTTGCTTAACTCAACACTCCAAACCCTGGGTACCAGCAATCAGGAAATCAGCAGACAAGTCCATTGTCAGGGACCTCTCCAAAATGCTGAATAGCAATGATGTCAATTTTAAGACCAAGGTGCACCTGATTCAAGCTATGGTTTTTCTCAATCACCTGCTACACATCAGAGAGCGGCTCAATCAATGAATAAGAATGACAAAAGAATTGATGCCTTTTGGTTGTGGTGTTGGAGAAGAGTACTGAATATCTCATGGATTAGGAAAAAAAACCAAAGAGATATGTCTTGGAAAAAGTACAGCCAGAGTGCTCCTTGGAGGCAAGGACGGTGGGGGCTCGTCTTTCATACTTTGAACATGTAGCTATGTGAAGCTATTCCTTGAAAAGTGACATCATGTCTGGAAAGATGGAGAGTCAGTAAAGGAGAGAAAGACCTCCAATGAGATGGGCTCTAGTGTGTCAGAAATGGTGAGGATGGCACAGGATAGGACAGGGTTCAGGTCAGCTGTTTAGAAAGATGATATGAGTCATAGTCAACTCGTGAGCATCTTATAATAACGACACACATAGCAAATAAAAACTGGAGGAGACTTTCTCCCATGGGGCATTGGTGGGTTTGAACCAACAGAGCCATGTGAATTTTTGGTTAGCAGTGCAACTAGCTACATTTAATGAAGTTAAAAAGTCCAGATGGCTACCAATAAAACTTCCATTTGCACTTAACCATTTTATTCTGGATGACATCATATACTTTGCCATGAACCACTGGGATTTTTTAGTTTTTTAAAAAACCAAACCCCAAAAGCATTTCTTTTTTTCACGACAGCATCAAGCAAAGGCCTTTTGCCATTTTGCCACTTAAATGTATCTTACTAATTTTTTTTTCCTTGTCCAAGAGTTTTCTCTGGGGAAGTGAAAGGAAGTTTAGTGAGATTTTATGTGATTCTTTGGGGGAAAATCCACTCCTATCAAAATTTCTGAAATTGAATATTACTTGAAACAGTTGCGGCAGAAGATAAAAGACTATATAGCCTTCATCATTTGAGCTAACATCTCAAAGTCAAGAAAACAAAAGTCCTCGATACTGGCCAATGGACAACATTGTGATAGACGAGGAAGAGACTGAAGTTTTCAAAAACTTTGTTTTACTTGAATCTATTATCAACACCCAAGGTAATATCAGATAAGAAATTAGAAGATACGCTGTGTTGGGAAAATTTGCTATCAAAATGCTGAAGAACAAGGATGTCAGTTCAAAGACCAAGGTGTGTCTGACCAAGCCGTAGTCTTTTCCAGTTATTTCCCATGCTTCTGAAAGTTGGGCAGTGAAAGAAAGACAATAGAAGACAAATGAATGTATTTGAATTTTGGTATTGGGCTGCTATGAGTCATATTCAACTCAACACTCCATGAAGAGTACTCAACACTCCAAGTATTGCCAAAAGAACAAACAAGTCTGTCTTATAGGTCTTATAGATCTTACAGATCTTGTAGGTCAAGGAGCTCCTTAGAGGCAAGATGGCAGGACTTCATCTCACATACTTTGAGCGTGTTGCCAGTCCTTGGAAAAATACCTCATGCTGAAAAAGGTAGAAAGGTCAGAGAAAGAGAGGAAGACCCCCAGTGAAATGGATTGACCCAGTAGCTGTAACATTGGGCTGGGGCATATCAGAGATTGTGAAGGCAGTGCTGGGTAGGGAAAGATCTTTGGTTTGTAGGGTTGCTATGAGTCACAGGCCGTTCGATTTCACCTAACAACAACATACAAGCAAGATTTCATTCCGCCTACTGTTAATTAGCTAAGTTGTCTTATTTTTTATTGTTGATATAGTTTAATATTGCCACAGACGTCAAAAGACAGAAAACCAAGTTAGACAACTGTGATTTTTTTTTTTGCAGTAGCATATATCAAAGTCTAGGTCTTCTCTAAAAGGGTGCTATTTTAATTTGCTCAGAATTGTTTATTCATTTAGCATTTTTGTTAAAAGAAATTTATGCCCATAAAGGTTTGAAGTCTCAAAATCAAATTTTTATTTGGATATCATTTCACTTCACTAGCTTTTAAATTACGAGCATTAAAGATGGTGGTGATGATGATGATGATGATGATATTCAAACTCACTCAATCAGCCAGTTCTGACTCAGAGTGGGTTTCTGAGACTATAGATCGTAAAGGGAGTGTTTTAACCTGCATTCAGCTTTTGTAATTGTGATCAACTTATTTCACCATAGATTCAGACATATTATACAGAGCGTCACAATTTCTTCAGTACTTTTCAATACACTGTGGGTATTGTAATTCATATTATAAAACAAAATGTATATGAACAATTAATTGATTTGAAAAACCAATGTGCTTTACAAACTTTCATTCAAATCACTATTTTTTAAAAACGCTAAATTAAAAAAGAAATCTCAACAGGACAAGACTGCCCATCTTTCTCCCTCAGATTAGCTAGTAGATTTGAAACACCAGAGACACAGACTTGCGGTAAGGCATACAACACTCTACAGACTACACCAGAGTGCCTTTTATCAGTTATTATTTCCTGCCATTAGGGTCACTTTTTATCTTACATATTCTCAAAGAAAAGGGAATTTATCTTATGGGAGAGAAAGCTGAGATTCTTGATACTCAAGAGCCACTTTCAGTGGCCCTATTTTATAATAAAGCCACTATTCTAAGCAAATTGAGGACTCTTTGCTGTGAAGGTTAGGTTTACACACACACACACACACACACACACACACACACACACACACACACTTCTATTTCCACAGTTGCCAGAAAACCACATATGGCTATACCTTCATTGCTGGGGTTTCCCAGGACTTTCTTGACCTCTGCATTGGTGGGATTTGTGCCCAGAGCTCTAAGGACATCACCAACCTGGCTTAGAGTGATCTTGGAATCACCTGTCCTATCAAACAGGAGAAACGCCTCCTTGAAATCTGCAAAATATAGAGAGCATTAGGGTGGTTTCTCCCTCTCATACATCGTAACTCCATTAAAGAGCCAGTCCACACTCTTCTCTCTTTTCACCACTTTCCCAGTCATTTTTAAACCCTTTGTCACTTCTTATTTATATTGTTTTAAAGCAGCGTTTCCAGTCTCAAGCCATGTATTACTGTTTACCAGGTATGGTAATTGGAACCCCAAATTGTTTTCATTCATATTTCTTTCTCCTGCCACTTGTTTGGTTATCCTTTCAAGTTGCTGCCATCCTTCTTTGATCCTCAACATTGCCATGCTCAGAATGACAGTGTAAGCAGGTTTAGAACTGTACATCAAAAAGACTGGGAACAATTTCGATGAACTTACAACTTAGTAAGGTCCTTTCTGGTGAACATGAACTTCACTAAACTAAATTTGCTTGAGATTCCAACTTGGTGGATTTAAGATCAATACTCAAAAAACATTAGTTAATGGATCTAGTCTACTTGAAAGCATCTCTTACAGGCCATCAGTAGCCTCAGAATAAATGATGCCACACGGATAGCTACTGAAGCAGAGTATTTTGTCTTACCATCTCTCCATCTTTATGGAATTGTATCTAGATTTACCATTAGCTGTGGATCATGTTACCATTCTTAGTTAAAATTTTCCCCTCCAATACCTATTTTTCATTTTAACTTAAGTTCTATACAATTTGAATATAATAGAGTATGTCACTAATCTAAACTAAAATTCTGCAGATACTGTAGAGTCACTAGTTAACTATCATTCTTTGTCTTTTTAAAGGACATGTGGAACTGGACTATTCTTGTGACTGCCTCTCGGCTTACATGCACAGATTGCCGAGTAGGGCTCACTGTTACCCCAGTCAGATGCTGATATAGAAATAGGATTTTATGGGCTGTAATAGAATCACTCTGACCTTAACCCTTTCATTAAAGAGAGAAAGCTGAAAATATATTACTCCTCCTACATAAGATTTTGAATTGTCCCTGTGTACTGCAAAAGTTTTGTCAATTTAGTTCTGTAAAGATTACAGTCAAGAACACTCCACGGAGCAGTTCTACTGGGTAGCAGTCACCACACTGGAACTGAGTGGCAACAAAAAAAAGCAACCTCAGATTTTTAACCTAAGACTTAGTTGTGATCATAACAAGTCTAGAATGTTGGCAAGTTACAGCTCAAGGTCTAATTGCCTTTTTTAGTCAATAAAGTTTACTGGAATATAGCAAGCCAAATTTCTTTCTGAATTATATATGATTTTTAAATTTTCTTTTGTTTTGGTTTTTTAGCTGTGGTGGGGTAGACCATAGTCGGTAGGGGATTGTGCTGCTAATTCAAAGGCCACAGCTCTCGGGCAGTCAGAATCCATCAGCAGCTCCACTGGAGAAAGATCAGCAATCTCCTCTTGTTAAATTTACAACCTTGAAAATCCAACGGAAGGTCAGCTATGAGATGGTTTTGACTTGAGAGCCTTGGGGATTTTAAATTCTTTTCATATAATTTTCATATTATAGCAATAGAGTTGAGTTGTGGTTTATATTGCAAACAAAGCATAAGATATTTGCTTTTTGTCCTTTGGGGGCGGGGGGGGGCGGAAATTGGTCAATACTAGGTCTAAAACAGAATTTTTTGTTTTGATGAAATATTTTTTATCAAGCTTGTTAAAAACAAGTAACTCCTCTTCCCATGGCCCTTGAGCAATTAACTGTGACTAGTATGTCTGAGGAATGACTTTTTAAAGTGTACTTTTTGATTGATGAAATGTTGGAAAACCATAGGCTAGACGTTAGTCTAATGAATAGCAGAGAACCTGGGATTTTATAATACTTTAACATTTTGTTTAGGTTCCTCCCCCCCCTTTCCTCCAATTCTGTTATATTTCAGATAAACAGCCATAAGAGATACTCTTTATTACCCCCCCCAAAAAAAAAGAAGAAGAAGAAGCAAACAATGGAAGTCCTCATTCTTTTCTGAAACTATAGGGAAGTGATTTAATGAAAATACTTATATTTGTTTAAGAGAAAACCAACTTCACCAATGTTTATCTATGTTCTGTATCTAAAGCCTTTTCAAATATTGAATGTTAGGTTTCACGCCCAATAGTGAATTCTCAATCTCCTACAAACGTTTTAAAATCTTCCATTTCTTATTTGGGAGTCAAAATGCCATTGTAATTTAGGTTTGGGAAAGGACTGGGATGCAGTAGCTGGTAAGATAACCATAGCATTGGCCAAAACTGCATTAAAAAGAAAACATCATGGTAGAATCACTCACTGCTTTCAGTAAGATGAACAGTCCTTCCTAACGTTATTTCAGTGAGAGCTCTGGTGGCCTAGTCATGAGAAGCTGTACTGCAATCTCATTGCAAAGGCCATGGCTCGAATCCACCAACTGTTTTGAAAGGAGAGAGATGGCCAATCTCCTCTTTTGGGGATTAATTGTCTCTGAAAACCTACTGGAGGGTCAACAATGAGTTGGTACTAACTCGACAGCATACACAACAACAGTGTAATTTGAAGTGATCAAGAGTTTATGGAATAAGCAAATTATTCAGTCTGTGTATTTGAGGCCATTGAGCACATTGGAGATGCATGTGGATCTGTACAACAGCAAATGCCTTGTATTGGGTTTTTTTTTTTTAAAAAGCCAAACCCCAAACTTAAGTGATGTTGAAAAATGAGATATTTCACAAACTGGAACAGATCAAAGACTGTCGAAGACTTGGAAAGCTAAATATTTTAATAGATCCTTACTACTAATTACTGTTTTATGAGGTCCAATATTTATATGATCTCATGAGCCTTATTCTTTTCCTCTCCTTTGTTCTACAGATGTATTCTTGTCCCAGATCATTTGTGTATATAACCCTTTCCACAATATGGGATACTAGAATCGTGCTCTGGTATGGGACACAAGACATGGATTCAAAGATGAAAAGAGGGGGAAAAGTCCTACAGCTAAAAGTGAGAGTGCTATTTTCAAGATTTAGTAATTGCAGATATTAACTTTTTTCATGAAATAAATTTCTAATTGATTACCAGTTTTAGTTCACTTGGCTACTAGGTTAAGTCTCATCACTTCTCTGAAAACCCAGTCTGCATCTTAAGGAGAGTCTGAATGGAGACTTGTCATTTCCTTCTGTAGTTCTCGGATTTCTTTCTAAATTTCCTTTTATAGATCCTCCCTATTTGGCTGTGAATTCTATTATGCATTGACTTCATTTTCTAAATCTCTCAATTTACCATTAAAATGATTTCACAGGAAAAAAAAATGTACATTTGTTAAATAATCACCATTACAGTCCATGCTGTTTTCCAATAAATTGGACCTGCCTAATCCTCCCTTACGGACCTGATTCAGAAAGTAGCCATCTAAACTCTCCAACCCTTTCCCAACCAGTAGTTAAATAATATTTATGGTGTCAATTAATACACAATAAGGTGAATCTAAGATCTTACTTTGCAGGGTTTATCCTTTGTTTACTTACACTTTTGATTACTGATGGTAAGCAGGGGCTTTCTGGTTTAGAGTATTTCTATTTAGAGTGATTGAGAGCATTTATATTTAGAGTGGCAACACCAGTGGGGCAATTAGGAAGCGCTAATCTCCTTTCAAGGGAGCTGGTCTTCTCACATACCATCTTTATGTAGGTGCACATGTTAAAAACCATGTCTTTTGAACTTACCATCCTGCTGTTCCTTAGAGAACTCGATCTGTTAGAAAGAAATTAATCACAAAGAGTATTTTAACCAAACACAAATGTTCTGATCTTCAAGTGTCTCCAGCGCATTCCCTGAGCCCTCTTCAAAGTAAGCGTCACAAGGGTCCAAGCCAGCTTACTTTTCAGAGTTCAGGTAGAGCTTAGACACAACACAACATGGTTGAGCCATGAAAGTAACATGCCTTGGAGAGAAGTGAGAGTTGTGAAACCAGGCAGTGCTTTGCCTAAATCCAGAACAGAGAAGCTCAATTCACTTACCAGCAATCTGGTCAGCGCTGAAGGACTGCAGTGGCAAGAGAGGGAGAAAGAACAAACAAGTACTATTTCAAATGCATTGACAGAAGTATTGACAGAGCACTCTCTGCTCTCGTTTTGAAAGCATAACAAGGGTGTCTTAGAGTAAGTTTGAATCTAGAAACATAAAAAGCTATTGCAGATAGTCGTTAGGGAACATCTGTCCAGATCATCGTCATCAAATCAATGATTTAACAAATGAAAAATCAAACACTTCCTGGAATAATATCCTATGATATGCTTTAAATGTGTATAGTAAAGATACACTGCATTAAAAAATACAAATACAGTGCATGTCAACAATTACTTTAAATCTAATGTTTAATAAAAAATACCCTTAAGAAGCTACCATATCCAATGCTAGCTTATTTCATTTTAACTATTAGTATCATTGGAAAGTATTCTAAGGAATAATACTCATTTTAGTTGCACCTTTTCTTTTTCTAAAATTATACACAAGAAATCTCTTAAGATGCAGTAAAAGTCGGCAAAGCATAAAGTACTGCTTTGGGAATAAGATGGATTTCTCCAATTGGTGCAATCAACTCATTATTCTCTTTCATCCTCAACACACCTGAACAAAAGACAAAAGTAGACTCTGAAAACTGAACTTGAATATACCCTCTCCTCAATTCTGTTCTTGGTCTGTGTCCCTTCTCAGTAAGATCACATCTGCTCTAGCTGCCTGTCCATGACAAATCGTTTTTTCAAAAAGGACCCACCATGATGGAGTTTCTGGGCTGCGAACAGCGGCGACGCTGGTGGTGTTGGGGGTTGTTCCACTCCCTGAGTGGGATCCTCTCTCCCTCGGCTTTCCTTTTATTTCTGGGGAAGCTGTGATCTCATAGCCAGCATTAGGTTTCAGAGAGAAGTTGCCACTCCCCTTGGAGAGTTCTTTAGCTTTCTTAGGGCAAAGGGAGAGAGGATCTCTACCCTGAAGGCTATTTTTAGGAGGCCAGAACCTAGGAGTGGGCATCCATCGAGAGACCGCGGCTTGTCAGTACTTTTATGGTCTTTCTCTCTGAGAAGTACTCTTGGAGAGTCTTCCTTCGAGAAGCTTCTTACTTGTTAGTGGAAGAAGAGTTGAGTGTTCTCTAAGTGCTGATCCTTTCTCTTGGTCAATCACAGATGTCACAAGCTTGTAGTCAGCAAGTTTTGATATTAATGGAACTCCTTGGGTGCAACTGGTTTAGGGTTTTAATGGCAGCTGCTATAGAAGGAACAGCCTTAGAAGCGCACATGCGCTCTCATTCTCTCTCTCTCTCTCAATAGATTTCATATGACTTGAAAGGCCACACATGTTCCACGTGTTTCTTAGTGTCACCCAAGTAACAAAGAGTTGGGCATATCCTTGAAATCTGCTCAAGACTCAGTGTGAGTTGTATTCTCATGTGGTTTTACCTTAACTGGGATGATTCTGAGCACTGTGGTTTGCCACTCTGTTCTAATTCTTCCTGGCATTATCTATAGTTTTATTTTTCCATTCTGGTTATCTTTATGGTGGCTCACGAGTCACATTTTTCTAATCTATTCTAGACAGAAATGCTGATAGACCAGCTGTACATTTTTCTTTTATTGTATGATTATTTTATATTATTTAAATATTAAAAAAATTTTCTTTTTGCCCAAGGTCTTATGAGAATGTGTTCACTCTGTTTCTGTCTTTTCAAATTTTTGTTTGTTTTTACTGCCTCTGAAAATCCACCGGAGGGTCCGCTAAGAGTCAGTTCCAACTCAGCGCACATAACAACAACAATAGCAAACAACAAAGTTTCCACAATGCTGGAATGTGCAGAAAACCATGGACAATTCCATATATGTCGTGGTGTTGTTGTTATTGTGTATAGTCATGTCTGAACTGCCCCAGAGTTGTCCCTCTACTGGGTTTTCAGAATCAGTCAATTTCACTGGAGAAGATTACCCATCTTTCTTCCATAGAGCCAATGGTGGATTCAAAATGGGCACCTTTGAGTTGGCAGCTTAATCCTTTACCACTAACCACTAACTAGAGTGCCATCATATGTACTTGTTGTTGTTATTGTTGTTGTTATGTGCTGTTGAGTCACGTGTGAGTCATAGAGATCCTATGTACAATAGCTCTGAACTCTGCTCTATCCTGAGTCAATTTCATTGTCTCTGAACACCTATCCCCATTATCCTAGTCACTGAATCAATCCATCTCAACCAGGGTCTTCCTCTCTTGCACTGTCCCCCCACCCTCCCGAGCATGATGTCCTTCTCCAAGGACCAGTCCCTCCTTGCAACCTGCTTAAAGTATGTCAGATGGAGCTTCAGAATCCTTGCCTCCAAGGAGCAGCCTGGTTTCACCCTCTCTAGAATGAGTTTGTTTGATCTAGCAGCCCATGGTATATTCAATACTTTTCTCCAACACCACAACTCAAAGGCATCAATTCTTCTATCATCCTTAGTCATTGTCCAGCTTTCTGATGCATAGCAAGTAATTGAGAAGACCAAGGCCTGGATCAGGCACACCTTAGTCTCCAGACTGATATGTTGCTTTTTTAGTACTCTGGAGAGGTCCCTAACAGCAGATTTCCCCAATGTAATTAATCTTTTGATTTCCTGGCTGCTGATACTAAGAGTGTTGATTGTAGAACTAAGCAACCTTATTTAAGGATCTTGAAATCAAACAAGTGGTTGTGGAACACCTGATTATAAATTAGACTTTTAAAAGTATCTAATTTGCCAAAGTGTTTGAGTGTGAAAATTGGTTACCACGCTGGGCCGCTAATCAACAGATGGGAGGTTTGTTTACACCCAGAGGTAGAAAATCCCAACAATCTACTTTTGGAAAGCCAGCTGCCGAAATCCTTGGCTGATATTGTAAGCAACAGTGTTCTGCTTTGGTTGCAGTTTTTCTTTTTATAAATTTATATCTAATAAATCTTATGTGATGCACTAAAGTCATTGAAAACTCCCCATGGGGTGCAGTTCTGCTGTGACATACATGGGGTCACTATGATTCAGAGCTGACATCCCAACAGCTAGTAGGGTATGTGTGTGGTCCTTGGTGATGGGGTTTTTCACCTCACATACTTTGGGCATATTGCTAGGAGGGCCTATTCCTTGGAGAAGGACATGGTGCTGGGAAGAGTGGAGGGTTGGCAAAGGAGAGGAAGACCCTTAACCAGGTGGATTGACACGGTGACTGCTGCAATGGGCTCTTGTGTGTCAGGAAGTGTGAGGATGGCTCAGGATAGACGAGGGTTCAGATCTTTTGTTCACAGGGTCGTTATAAGTTGTACTCAACTCGACAGCACCTAACAACAACCACAACAATGTGAAAATAAAGGCTGCTTCCTTTCCAGACTGTACTTAGAAAAGATCAGACTGAGGATGTCCACTAAAATCCAGATGACATGTTGATCATCTTCCTACATGTTTAGAGACTCTCACAGACTCAGAGAATGTTGGCAATCAGCAGTAGCTAATGTCATGCATCAGCGGTAGTACATGGTTTTGGTCACAATAAAAGTATGAAGCATCCTTCTGCTGTTGGAGCTGTTAGTTGCAATCTCATGATAACTCCATATAGTAGATAGTGCATATATGGGAAAACCCCATATAGTGCCTAGCAGAACGATAGCATTTTTTCAAGCCTGTGATCTTTCAAAAGCAGGTCACCGAGTCTGTCTTCTAAAATGTCCCTTGGTGGGTTTGAACAGCTAGTCTTTCAGCTAATTGTCCAGTGTTCAATCAGGTGTGCTGTCGCCGTCCAGAACATATATACTATTCAAGTTTCCCTTGATCCATCTGGAAGAAATCAACACTTAAACACACATCATTTTTGCCACAAAGTTTAAAAAAGGAAAAAAAAATATTTGTAGGTTCTTCACTCTCAAAATAAGAATTGAAGTGTTCTAGGTTTTAAATTAATAGTGTAATAGACATTTTGAGAAATGTTTTTGGGAAATGAAGGTTAATAAAAAATTTAGAATGCTTTGAATCATTAGGGGAAAATAAAAAGGTAAGAGCAAGAATGGATATCTTTAATATTTTTAATACTTAATTAGGACCTTATGATTTTTTAATCTTGAAATTAAGATAGTTATATGAGACTGTGTTTTCTTTGTGCTCTTTTCACACATTTGGATTGTCTCACAGTTAACACTGGGCACTAGCCTGTATCTTTAGTTGTTGTTGTTGTTGTTGTTAGGTGCTGCTGAGTTGAGTATGACTCATAGCGACTCTAGGAACACAAGATCTGAACCCAGTCCTGTCCTGCACCATCCTCACACTTTCTGACACACAAAAGCCCATTGCAGCAGTCACCGTGTCAATCTACCTGGTTGAGGGTCTTCCTCTCCTTCACTGACCCTCCACCCTTCCCAGCATCATGTCCCTCACCAAGGAATAGCACCTCCTAGGAATATATCCAGAGTATGTAAGGCGAAGCCTTATCATTCCTGCCTCCAAAGAGCACACTGGCTGCGCCTTCTCCAAGACATCTCTGTTTGTTCTCTTGGCCGTCCATGGCATGTTCAGTGCTCTTCTTTCGTAGATATATTATTTATCAAATAATCCAAAATGAACCCTGCAAAGTTGTCCTAATAGACATGGGGCTTATTTACCTTTCTTAGGTAGAAAACATGCTACTGAGTGCACATAAAATATCAGCAACTGTGTAAAAGATGTTGAATAAAGCAAATAATTAAATTTATGCTCTGAATTAGTTCT